ACTTAACTCCGAGCCATTACTACTGTGTGTAAAAGTAGTATACTCTGCCAATTAGGTTGTAACTCACATTAGTATGCATTTATCGAAGCTCAAATGAATGAAGGAATTCAAAGACAATAATTAGGTGGAAGTTGGAAAAGAGCGAGCCGACTACGAAAATAGCAAAGGTTGAGTGCCCTAACATTCAAATACAAGTTTACAGCATTACTCTGTACTATAAGGATAGCCGAGACATGATTCTATATAGATGAGAATGCAGGGTTGAGTCATTGAATACTCTCGTGGATAGGATGATGATCATATACACATTTCTCAGAAAATTTGGCTGGCTGAGATGCAGCACATTGGGCCTACCATCAGGGAACTGATGCTGGTATTTCGTATCTGAATAGCTTCTACAGTTCCCTGCGATCTATCTGAAGCCATATTTCGAAATAATTAAATTTTAATGCTTTTCCATCTACTGAGGAGAACACACGCAACGAAACATCTGTACTAGTGGTCCTAGTTCTTAGCCACCGAAGGCATCTAATGATATGCATTTTTACAGGCCTTATTGCCGCTTTCTGGTTACGTTATTAATACAGACCACTATCAGAAGACCGGACTTGTTGTATTTCTCTATGAATGTGCCGCGGGAGGCATTGACATTTCATCCTTTGACACCCTTCAGCTGCAGTTGCTAGTTCACTACATTCATTTAATTTAGCCGCCTGAGTCGGATCATCTTCCCATCCCAGACTGCATCCCCGGACTGAAAGTCGCTCAGGATGGAAATAGTTTCCGATCGCAGTTGTGAACTGGTGCTTATATCTCTTCTATATCTATTTGTTGTTGTGACCGAAATGTCTAACTGGCACACTGCTTATCATCTGTAAGCTAGTAACTTTCCTTAATCAGATCGGAAGCCCTTTCAGCGACAGCATACAGAGTGCTGGTCAGATGGCCGCAGAGCTGGAATGGCAGGACTGATGCATCGACGACACGAAGATTCTTGGTACCATAAACCTTCAGCTCGGGACTGACAACGCCACCCTTTTCGCGGGGAAGCATGCTGGTGGTGCCGACGGGGTGGTAATTTGTTCGGTCTGCGATGAATAGGTACGTTAGCGACCATGTTGCAGAATTCCGTTTCGGGTAAATCATAAAGGCTTACAGTTTTGCTGAACCCACTTGGTCCAAGTGGCACTGGACGCATTAGCGGGTAGCACGTCGAGGCCAGGAGTAACTTCCTCTCCTACAAGGCTGTTAAGAGGTGCAGTTCCCAAAGCCTTCCGAATGTATTGCGCCACCGTAATCTGAGCCTCGGCATCTTGGCTGAACATGAAGTAATTGGGATTGATGGCAGGATAGTCAGAGGCGTTCGCGGATTGGATGTGTACGCTGCCGCGGGAGAAGGGGAGAAGAGGCCAGTACTCAACGGCGAAGGATTGCCCACTGGGAGCGAAGACGACCTCCGCATAGGGGACCAGGGACTTGAAAATCAGGTCGTACTGGTGCTCGAATGCCTCCACGAGGTTAGCCTCCTTGACAGCGCCGTTCGAGGCGTCAGCGACAGTCTTAGCATAGCTAGCAAGCTGGGATTTGACGTAGGAAGCCAAAGCAGCGGCGTTATCGCCGTAGAGCTGGTTCACAGATGGTAAGACGGAGAAAGTTGCCAAGCCAGTGAGGGTGTCAACACCTTCCCAGGAAAGGGCGTTGTTAGTCTGATCCTGTAAGTTTTCACCGACCGTGGTGATGTTGACCTTGACGGGGATGTTGTGCTTATTGAGGACGTCAGGGTTTCCGATACCAGACAACTCGAGCAGGGCAGGGGATCTGAGCGCGCCAGCCGACAGGATGACCTCCTTGTCAGCGTAGATGGTTTCCGTGCCGTAAGCGTTAGTAACTTCAATGCCGACGGCAACAGCCTCTCCTTGGGTGGAGTTGGCCCAGATGACCTTGTTCGCACGAGTATTGGAGATGATCTTCAGGTTCGAGCGGGCTTCATATGGCCAGTAATAAGCCCTGGCAGCATCTTCGCGCACGTTCATCTCCTGGTCCAGGGTGTCAGGGTGGACAGTGAATCCGACCATCTTGCCGCCTTCAGAATCGGGGTTATACTGAACGCCGAGTTTCTCAAAGGTTTGTTCGAGAACTGGGAAGACGCTGCTGTTGGTCATGGAAGTAGGCCAGCCGACCTTCAGAGGGCCGTTCAAACCGTGATAGCTAGCATTGTAGCTGGCACCATGAGCGATCTGGTCCTTAGTGGGCACCTGGAAGCCTTCCGACTTCTTATAGTATTGAAACAGGTTCTTCCAGTTCCAGCCCTCGTTCCCGAGCACTTCCCAATTGTCAATTTGTACGTCTTCGGCCCGAGTATAGGACATTCCTATTGTAGGAGATTTAGTCAATACCAAAGTATCATGTGTTTGTAAGGGAATGAAAAGGATGACTTACCATTGATTGTGCTTGTACCTCCAAGTGCCTTTCCGGCACGGATAGTCTGCTGCAAGCCTCCTGCATATGTCTGGTTCTCGGTTTGGTAGGCCCAGTCCACCTCCGTCCCGAATGCCGTGCTGTAGCCCATGACATTAGACACATTGAAGTTGTTCAATGCTGATTCACCGGCCTCAATGACGGCCACAGTGAAATTCTTCAGTTCCGAAAGTCTGTTGGCAACAACCAAACCACTAGTGCCTCCGCCGACGATGACAAAATCATAGTGAGGGGGTATGTCGACATGACTTTTGGCCGCTGCGCCTAACGAGAAGGCCGCGAGAGCAAGAGAGGAAAGAAGCATCTTGGTGATAGATGCAGGAGGGGTTGGAATTTATTGAAGTGTCCCCAATGATTTAACGTGATGAACAACTTTACGATCAGAGACAAACCCTGTCTCTTTATACAGGCATTGAGGAGGGCTACATGTCTACCACCTATAGAGAGACTTCTAGAAAAAGCCCTCAAGCAATCCTAATGCTAAAACATTGACCCACCCACTGTAATGCCGTTAGACTCTTGAAGTGCTAGTCGCAGCCAAAGTTTCTTCGCTTCAGCAAATGTCAGTGATCGGTCATGATTATCAAACAGCGGGATTCAAGGGTCTTTGGGTCTCGCCACGCGGGAAGCTCCATATCGAAGTGGATACTTTGGTTATAACCAGCCAACCCCGAAGGACGGGGTCCTGAAATACAGATTTGTAATAGACTGATTAATCCTTAAACCGAGAATCATAATCCCGGTTCTCTAATTCCGCTCCTCGGACATGTCGCGGGCCGAAATGGCGGCTCGTCTGTGTATGTGAACGGCAAGCCGATTTCAAAGCGCTATTGCCGACGTGAACCCCGATCTAAATCCGGGTTTCCGAAGCGGCATTCTTTATAGTGCGGCAGAAATTCCGTTGCGAGGATTTATAGGTCCACTCCCAAACTTAGTGGATCTCTTCAGGCTCACTTCCATTCTACTCTTCGTTACGTAATGACTCAGATGTAAGATAATCATCCACTTCTTCAACATCCCATTGAACCCTCGTCATATGCTTCTAGGTTTGTTTCCTCATTGTGGAGATGCAGAGACATATCCTCTAATCGTCTTGCATTGATTAGAAAGCATCTCGCTTCATTTGCCGTACGTTTCAGGGGTGCGAGATTATGTTGGTGATATTCAAGGGTTACCCTGGATGTCCCCTTTGGTTGAATTTTCACTGACTCCAGCTTCCACACTCCTGCTCCCTGACATTGTTGCTGCCATATGCCATGACGGGGCGGAGACTATATGAAGTTAACGACGTGATCGAAAAATACTGGCCCTCTGCCGGTTTGCTTCCTGGTTTTATCCGGACCAATGCATATTTAATATATAAGAGCTTTATCGCATGTAAAGCAGTTGGAAGAGCCAACCTTAGCCGGCCAGGAAGAATTACCCCCGACATCATGTACGGCTTTCAAATATGTATGGGTGTAAATCGGTGGTTGCACGCATCAAGCGTATGGTTAATAGCTAGATTCACGCCTTAGGTGCATTATGTGAGTGTCTTTGACCTTTTCAAACACCTTTCCAACATATGTGTGCACCTTCGATCTGTAAATGGCAATACCGGGGCCAAGGCCACTCTATTCCGTTAGGACTGATATCATTTCGGTGCCCTACCAGGGGTCGTGTCTAAAGTGTTGATGAGAAAGCAAGACACGCGTGGTGTTCTCGTCATTAGATCAAGAGAAGCAGCGAGGTGCATGAAGAGTCATTACTGTGTACATCTGATCTTAGTATAGTCCTACTCACTCGGCGATTATCGGTGGAATTGGAAGTAATGAAGTCGGACTTGGGCGTCGAAACTCTCTAGATGGTAAGTATGACCGTTGGCTTAATGGCCTACGCAGCGTCTAGAGTACAGCGAACGGAAACATAATCATTAATTGAGTCTTATCTAATTCAACAAATCGCTATCCAAAAACCTAGCCTCTTCCCGGCTGCATACATGGTCATCACATCTATAAATTCTTCCCTCATGTCCTTACCCCTTTCATGGCTCTAATCAGAAGGTAGGTGAGAAACGTTGGCTGTCAGCCTTACCACACCACTGTGCGGGCATAGTACATGTCTTACTGCGGGTGACCGTTTTTGATTTGGAACTTTCACACATGACCGTTGCAAGGATATAGATTTGAGAAGAAAAGCAAAAAGTGGCTATGGCAAAGCCACAACTGACCCGAGCAAGTCTTTCTTGATGCAAATCCACCCCGGTAGAAATGACGAGTTTCATTGCCCCTATCAGCAACACACATAGTCTTCAATAAGCTCCTACCCGCGCTAGATATGCAATTTCCCGAAAACTACTCCATTTCAAAAGCGCTCCCTGTCATGAGTTCTCCATATGTATCATACTTAACATATTCTCCTTCGCCTTTGCCTACAAGGTATATTTATCCCTCTCCGAAGTCACATTGTCCCTTCCTCCACCATTCTCGCTCTCAAATATACAGCCACATTAGCTATAGAAGCCAGATCAATCATAGGAAACAATGCCAGCTCTTACTCCTGAGCAAGTTGCCTTCTACAAAGCGCATTCTGGCGATGATTTGCGACCTAATGAGACCGCCTCTCTCGTATGTGGGCTCCTAGCGGCCATCGTCGCCATCGGCGCTCGTATCACGGCTCGGCGCATCTCGAGGGTCCAACTTGGCCCAGAAGATTGGACCATATTTGCAGCGATGGTTCGAGATTTGCACTTGCTGAGGCGTGAAGCATTCGAGATATTGACTTTTCTGCAGTTGGGCGAAATTACATACGCCGTTATATTCGCAAAAGCAATAAATAATGGCCAAGGGAGACACATCATTTTCATCAAGGACCTAGTGTCATTCAGCAAGGTGGGATGCCCTCCAAAACGTTTTGAGTTCGGTCAGTTGATTCAGTGAACAGGGATATGTTGCTGCCATAGTCAGCTACTCATATACCGTCATGGTGACGAAGATTTCGATACTAATATTCTATCGTCGACTCTTTCGATCTCGGTGGCTTATGGCTTGCTCATGGATTATTGGCATTATAGTTGTGATGTATAATCTGGCTGTCATTCTTATCGCCGGTCTTCAGTGTATTCCACTGTCAGATCTTTGGACGGGTGGCTTGTCGTGTATAAACACAGAGCCCCCCTTCACCGGACTAGCGTGAGTTCCCTTTCCCCATCAATAATTTTGATGTCGATACTCATGCCTAACCTACTTGTGATCTAGTATCGTCAATATATTCACTGATGTGGCCATACTAACTTTGCCTGTGAAGCCCGTTCTCAACCTTCACATGCCAAAGACTCAAAAAGTGCAGGTCTTGGGGATATTCTTGCTGGGAGGCGTGTAAGGCATACATAGTCAAACTTTGGGAAGGTATAATCACTAACCGTGAACTGCATGGTCCAGGGTTTGCGTCTTTGGTATTATTCGCGCCGTAGCAATGACGCGACTGAGTCTCGTCGACCCCACTTGTCAGTATTGATGAACACATACCATGCATAGCACACTCCATATCTGACACCTTTGTGCAGGGACGGCGGTTGGTGCGGCTATATGGTCATTTGTCGAAATATCCGTCGGCATCGTTGCAGCATGTTTGCCTTTGTTAGGGCCCCTCATCCGAACGAAAAGCACTGCGAGTCCGAACTGGTCCGGCAATGATGGGCAGGCGCCATCAGTAGAGTATAGCGCGGCACGACCAAACAAGACCAATTATGTAAGGCAGGACGAGATACCACTGGTAACTGTGGCAGGACATGACCGGTCGTCTCTTATCCAGGGCGGTGTTCCCGTATTGCCGTGGTCATCGAAACAGTGCACAAATCAGATCCTGGTCCAGAACGACATACAACATACTGTAACTTTGGCATAAGTGAAGGGAGCGGGCTGCGGCAGGATACAGCATATACTGAAGAAGCCGTCCGTACCTTTCTTGTCGTTGCTGTTTTGTGTCACCCTGGTATACTGTGACAACGAAATGTGTACGAATTCGTCTTTTATGCTGGCCGGATTCATCACGAAAATACTTTGAATTTACTAAATCCAACAATTACTGTCCATAATGAGGTACTGTGCGATTGAATTAGGCACGTCACTAGATACTATCCTGGGGACACAGGCTCTATCCCAGCCGGCTTTTTTTTGTGGGGGGAGGGGGGGGGGGGATATTGCTGGTTTTGCATGGGACTACTCCAGTCTTCCCATTTTGAATGTATATACTAGAGTCGAAGTAGGCAATAAGTGGGAAATTCACGATCTTAACCCTAGAATAGGCGTAGAGCCAGACATATCCCTTCCCCATACACCAAATGACCATTTCAGAATAATGTTGAAGACACAATGACAGGGAATCTTTTACCAAGGAAGAGAGCTGGCGCACCTCTAATGCATACCGTATAAGCCGCTCGATCATCATTTACGCAGTCGAGTCCGTAACAAGTTTAGAGTGCCTTAGGGATGGGCAGATATTTGCCCCAGACATTTCGGGGAGGGGGGAATGGGCGCTCTTCGAACATCTGAAACTCACCCACATCCAGCACACCTATTATTATCGCGTTCCTCTGCGCCCAGACGCTGTTGTGTTCACAGGGATGTAGCTTTAGGTACGCCAACTCGGGCGTTGCATCAGAGGGGCAAGATTGCATGCAGCTGGCATCGGAGCAATGGCTTCTAAGCCGCTTTACCGAGCTCATAACCATGTCCCTGTCAACTAACCTGTTAGATATGACCCCACTGCTTGAAGGGCTTGAGATTCTGACTGATAAATCGGTCAGGGTGGTTGAGGGAACAAGTCCGAGCAAATCCGTCGCTCATTCACCCTGCCCTGGGAGTTTTGATCGTTAGTGTCATGCCGAGAGATAAAAGAGCAGCGAAAGGTATAAAGTCTGCCTAAATCCACCCCTTTCCTTCACTTTTCGTGCATCATCCAATTTCTCAACCTCAATTCAGAGTCTATTCCAGTCTTCAAACATAAACGAACCTCCCAAGTGCAATCTGCCTAGCTACCTTTATATCTCAACATGCAGTTCAAAGCTATTATTTCGTTTCTCATCCTGGGCCTGGCCTCTGTTGCCATTGCCTCCCCTTCTTCCAACGGTATAATATATCTGTTCCTATTGCGGGTGATGGGAAACGCTGACAGAAAATTTTCAGAACAGAGAGATGCGAATGCCGACTTCGACAGTGTTGGTGATGCCTACTGAGATGTATTCTGAGGGAAAATGACAAGGGTTCAAGCAGATGAGGGAAGATGATATTGGGAATGTACCGCGTGCTTTCGTCTAGTGGATCGTCTGTGGTTTAGGTTGATGGAGATTGTCTGAATGAACACAGCCAGTAACAGCAAGGCGTATTATCCTTGTGTTTTGTCCTCTTCGGTAGCTTCCCGAGCAGATACTCTGTAGTTCTTCCAATAGTGAAGTCCTTGCCGCCTTAATTCGGAAAGAAACAGTTAAGACGTGAGTAATATGTTGTCGCTTCCAGGTATCATATGTATCTTTGCATTTGTAAAGCACGTCATATTCATCGGGCCTTTATATTACCATGAGTATTTCTGAGGATCTTGTATCCGCCACTGATCTACGTCCACCAATATCTTTGACGGTATCTTTGACGGCTCCTCTGCTCCAGTATGACTAGTGAAATGATCACCGAAATGAAACTTGGAGAATCAATGATGTTTCACCGAGAAGGAGCCCCGAAGTCGTATAGCATATACCCCACGAACAATCACTGGAAGACATTTCACCCATCACCAGATTCCAAACTTAGTATCTGGGGATGTCAAACATGGTTGACACGGAGAGGTCCAATCATCGGGGTTCAATGAATTGCATGCCAAGTCCCTTGCACCCTATGCTGGAATCCCATCGACAGTAGTATACATGGACTTGATCGTCTAGCTGACAACGCAGTTGAGGCTTATTTCTCCACGGCTATGCTCGGTCAACAAACATCTCGGTCATGACATGCATACATCAGCTCTGGAATAGAATGGGGCCGGGGGCTGCAGTGTGCCTTGCTAATCTGTCACTTGAAAACTGGCGAGGCAAACATCGACAACCCAAGACATCGTCGGATTCTGTGTTTTCGGGCCCACCCGCGCTATTAACGGCCATGATGCTAAGAGATGCCAAGAACCCGACACCGCAGACGCATTGGCGGCTACAACATCCGGTTTGCTTCCGAGAAGTCAAGAGGTCAGGGCCGGGGGTGGGGTATCGCCCACTCTTTCCGGGTAGTGAGTATCGACCCCTGCGCAAATGCTGTGCTGCGTTCGCGGCCAACAGATAGCTGATTGCGCTGCACATCAGCACTTTCAGCCCCCCTGGTGGGAGGCATTGTGGAACCGCCCCAATCGTCGATCCACGGGTGTGCACGTCCAAGCGTCTCAGCTTACCACAAGAAAAGCTAACCCCCACCTTCTAACGTTCAATGCAGGTTCATATCACATCGCATGCAATAGTGACAAATGGAGGGTGGGGGGGCTGAGAGACGCCAGGAAAGCCACCACAGCAAAGTCTTTAGTCGGCAAACACTTACTTACCCCTCACTCTTGCCTAGCCAATGTTGGCTGTTTCGCACCCCTGGACTCCCCAGCGTGAATTACGCCGCTTGCCAAGTATAGCGAATTGTGATCCAGTTTGGTTTATGGGAGCTGAAAGGGCGATAAGCCCCTTACCAAAATTTCGGCTTCTCAACTGCTCTAGGATACACGCGACTCATGCACCGCGGCGGACGGGTGCAGGATGTGAACCTCCCATTTAGAATTGGTCTTGCCGTACAGATACCCTTACTTCCAAGCATAGTAGGTCTGGACTACACTACATGGATGAGCCTTCATATCGACTGATTTAGCAAACAATACTTCCAGGATTTTCTTGTCACAGGGGCTCGACAACGCCGATCGGGGGAACCGCAAAGGATGTGCTGGATTTGCACACCAGGACGGAAGAGGGAAGCAAAGAGATAATTCGAACAAAGGCAAAATAGAATGAAAAGAACGAAAGAACAAAATACAAGGACATGGTGTGTCCTAGCTATGTCGAGGAAGTAGGAGACAGGCGCACATGTTCTTGGGTTCGCCAGGGTCCCCAGTTCAACCATGGAACGCGTTAGCCTCCAACCCATCCATCCCCGCGCTTTCACAATACCCAAAATGCTCCTTAAGCGGGATACCCGCTACGCTATCTCGGTAACAGGCAGATTTCTCAGTAGCATAGTCATGCAGCTGATCCCAGTCCCGGCATCGATGAAGCTGCCCATCACCAGCCCGGAACTCCCCAAACGTGAACAGTGGAGTGTTGTCGGCGTTACACTGAACAATCTAGGCCCTCGACAAGCCACTCGGGCCCTGTGTTAGTTGCACCATGTTCTTGCGAGTAGTGTCGGGGCAGAAGGAGTCCCCGAGGAGGTCTAGACCGAAGGGGACTCACCTGACGCAGATAATCAAAGCAATGTTCCATGTGATTCGATGGATGATGAGTATAGGGTCGTCTTTCGACAGCTTCCCAGAAGGTCAAACGGAGCATTTGCTGCCCAACCCCGCAGGGGAACATCATTAGCTCCACCAAACACCAAACGTCTCGATGGAAAAAGACAACATTGGAATTAAGAAATCGGAGACTCACAAGGCAGTGAAGCTGATGGTACGCCTCCAACAAATAGACCCCTTTTGAGTCGTCATCCGGCATAGTCATCGATTGAGGCCAATGGTTTTGCGCGGCCCATTGACGATCCACTGCAATGATGCCATGGGCAGGGTTGATAGCCGCCCACAGTTGGTCGGCGTCGCTGTGGTTCTGGGGACTGTACTCCGTGTTCCAATGGAATTCCTTCCAAGTGGTGCGTAAGACGTCGACTTGAGCTGGACGTATATTAATTACTTCTTAATCATATTGGGCCTTCTGTAATGAAGGGATGAGCGTATGAGTACATACCAAAGGCACTTGGTGCTGAGTCCGAAAGGAGCAAGCTCTGCACCGTATGGATGAACGGGTAGATGTACAAAAGTCCGGCAGCTGCTAGAAGCAAATACGTACGCTTCCTGTGGACCTCCCAACGAGACGGCTTGTGGAAGACACCTGATTGAGGCTGGTAGTCTTCTGTCGTGGAGAGAGATGTGTACCGTGAATCTTGCATGGCTAGGACGATCGGATATAATGAGAAATGGGATAGAAGCGCAAGGTGGAAGTGTAAGTAGGTTGGGAGGATTTCTTATGTAGCTTAGTGGCTGCGGCATAGTTTGCTAGGACGAGCACGGTGGTCCTGTTGCCAACAGTCACTACATAATTCGTGAACTAATAGGAACATTCGACATAAAAGCACAAAAGCAAATTCAATCTCGTTCATATTCCTATCTGAAAACTCTCTACACAACACAACATGACCTATTCTAAGAGTAGATCCGCCGCCTTCTCTGCCATTGCGTAGAGAATAGCCTGGTAGTGCGCCACAAGAGGGACAGGCACCACACTTGCATCTGCAACACGTAGCCCCTTGACGCCCTTCACCCGAAGTTGAGTGTCTACAACCTTCCCCATGGATGCCGAGCCACCTGGATGAAAGAAAGTAATTGCGCCATTTCTGATGTTCCTGTCAATTTCCTCATCGGTGGAATCAAGTCGAATCGGCTCATTGCCCGGTCGAGGAACCTCGGTATCCACAATATCGTGACCTTCGGGAGTGTCGAGCAGGAGCTTGGCCACTCTGCGTATTCCATCTCGGATAATCGCTCGGTCCACCGCCTTAGAGCAATAGTTCGGATCAATGACAGGAGCGCTTGCTGGATTCGCATCCGCAATGGTAATCTTCCCGCGTGCTGTCGGGGTCATCAAGAGAACAGCCGTACTGATATGAGTGCCATCCATGGCCGTCTCAAAACCGGTGACAGCTTGACTCATCGGTGCGTAGATGACGAGAATCTCTGAATGAGCAAATTTCGGATCCAAAAATGGATGGTCCTTGCTAGGCGCTTGTCCATCATCTTCTCGGAATGCCTGGATCAACGCGTCCGCAGGAGTCTGCAGGGTCACGTTCCAGTCATAGGGCACACCCATCCCATATGCTGGACTGTCCCAAAGGGGCGTACCCATAGAGAGACCTCGTTCAGGGTGACGAAGCTTCCACCACTGGGGAAAGCACATGTGGTCATGGAAGTTATAACCCACTTCCGGAGCGTTTACAAGCTGTGGGATGTTGTGTTTTGCCAGCTCTTCTGCGGGTCCAATCCCGGAGAGCATGAGAACCTGCGGGGTACGGTACGTTCCGGCCGAGATGATGACTTCTCTTGTGGCCCGGTATTCCTGTCCACCGACCACTGCGACTCCTGTTGCAACTTGCTGGCTAGCTTGCTCCTTGAGCAAAACTTTCTCCACCAGGGTCTCGGTAACGATGGATATTCCCTGGTGTCTAGACAACCCGTATGCTTCGCTGGCAAGCTGACGCTGTCCGTCACGCCAGTTTTCTCCGAAGTGGGCTAAGCCGAGCGCATTACCGGCATTGGCATCGGGATTGAACTTAACCCCAATTCGCTCCCAAGCAGAACGAACCGGTTCCTTGAGGGGGTATTTGCGGTCGGGGCTGGTCAGAGCGACAATTGTGTTGGTGATGGGGCCGCTGGTGCCGTGAATGGCCGGGTCGGCGTTGGGATCGTAGTGTGTCTCAACACGTTTGAAGTATGGGAGTAGACCATCGTAGCTCCAGCTGGAGTCCCCAACCAGGTTTGCCCACAGGTTGTAATCAGCAGCGTTTCCACGGGTCCAGGTCCCATAATTTATCGCTGTGCCTCCGCCCAGTGCTTTGCCCGCGGCGTTATAGCATTCGCGGTTGTTGAGATGTTTCTGCGGCACGGTGGTGTAGTCCCAGTCCAAAGGGGAGTGGTGGGATGCAAAGCATGCCAGAGGAGTGCTCGTCAGAGGGTGATCGACCACGTTGGGTCCAGCTTCGATGATCAAGATTCGAAGTGACTCATCTTTCTCAGCCAAACGACCGGCCAAAGCACAGCCCGTGAGGCCTCCACCGACAATGATGTAATCGTAGGTGTCAGGCATGGTTGGAATCCGAGAATGGATGAGGAGGTTGAGTGTGAGAAATTGGAGTACGTGGATCACAAATACTTATATGGTGAAAATGGGTAAATGGCGCTGTTGGGAAACAAGAGATAAAATTGCACGGTTGATGGAGGTATTTAACTCTTCATCTCAACCCAAGCTGACCAAGTCTAAAAGGCCAACACAGCTACGGGAACTCAAAGTAGGACATACCGACCCTGTTGGGCGGTTAGTAGTAGTAGTAGTATGGGACCAATGTACCATAGTAGAGTGATGAGGAGAAATGATTGGCTTTCGGCAGCAGTACACTACTAATCTGAGCAGACAAACAAAGAACCACAACCCCCACCAGCCTGAACTAGTGAGTCGTGACAGTAAGCCCTAAACAATGCGCCTCATCCCCTGTCGCAGCCCAATATTGACCGGCCTTGTTCGGCTTGCATGAGCCTACCTACGCATACCGATCCCGACGATCGTTAATTTAATTACTCCAGTACTTATAGCGATGCATACATCTTCTTACAGAATGAACCTGGTCAGTCACTCCATGCTTACAACATACACATTAATACCTCGCGCGAACAAAGTCTAGCAATGATGACGTCTGAGATTGGACGGTTGGTGTCCATCATTTCCCGTGCTGCAGCTACCCTCGAGGTATCGCTCACGGGAAGGAGCGACTTACCGGAGGCCTCTGCTTTTGGATCTGGAAGCAAAGAAGTACTGGCAGCAAAGGCCGACGCTATAGATGCATGTATGGAATTGCTGGACCAATTGCAAGGTCCGTCGAAATGCATGATACCATTGGTAAGTTGGCAGTAACTCAAATCCGCTGCCAAAACCCACAGAAGCACGATAGTAGAGCGAGACAGCCAAAGACCATTGTTGATACAAGTCATAGTGGAATGGTGCAAGTTTGCAGGCTATTTCCCGACATCACATTGCGAATCATGTCCCGATGCATGGGGAGATATCCTACCAGGACCTCGCCCGGGCATCAGGTGTTCCGGTCAATGAGTTGAAACAATATGTCCGTTTTGCAATTGTCCACCACCGACTATTTTTGGAGAAACGAAGGGGTTATGTCGCTCATTCTGCTGGCTCACGCTCCCTTCAAGAAAACCCCGGTGCCGTTGCTGGTGTATCACAGCTCGATGAATGGTACAGCGCCTTTTCACGAGTGAGCGCTCTCCCTACCTATAACTACTCATTTTATGTATCTTACTAAGCTGCATATGCAGACTGTCGACGCGATGGATCAGTTTCCGGGGCATAAGCCAAACGAGACCGTATGTCCCGTGTACACTGGCTTAGGCGATGACTTAACTAATCCGGATCTGTCAGGGATATGCCTTGAGCCATGGAAATCAGAGTATTTTCGATTATCTCAGCGACCGACCGGCCAAAGCAAAGCAGTTCGCTGATGCGATGCAGTTCTATACAGTTGCCATACCCGAAGCGTCTCCCAGCTTTCTTCTCCAAGGGTATCCTTGGGGCGACCTTCCACGGGGATCGGTTGTGGTAGATGTGGGAGGAAGCGACGGCCACGTTGGTCGGCTCATTGCGCAGCATTATCAGCACATTAATGTTGTAGTTCAGGATCTCGAATATGCCGCGGCAGACTTCCAAGCCGCGGCAAAGGAAGACCGCAACATCCGGTTCGACGTCCATGACTTTTTCTCCCCTCAGACAGTCGTCGCCGATGTCTACCTTTTTCGCTGGGTGCTTATGAACTGGGCAGACGAGTATGTTGTGCAGATCTTGCAACAGCTGGTACCTTCCCTGCGACCGGGTGCCAAGGTACTGGTGAACGAGAGTCTTTGCCCTGAGAGTGGATCGCTGCCATTAGCTATGGAGAGATACATCAGATGGATAGATCTGTTGATGCTTGGAGTATACAAATCGCGTCTCAGAGACGAAGAAGACTGGGTTGTATTGTTCAAGCAGGCTGATGCGGGATTTGACTCTATTCAGTGTTCCATGGTCCCGGGTTCAGCAATGGGTATTGTTCAGGCAATCTGGCGAGGAAACTGAGTCTTCAGGTAATGGCTAGCTGAGATATACACGAGTAACTTCTTATGATCTGTTTTACATCCTTTAACTCGTAGTTGACTACTTCTTTATAGAAATATGTATATACTATATATATATATGGCATGATGGTTTCAAAAGCTCTCATATCCTCCTCAGAAGGAGGATTTGTTCTTACACTGTGCCAGGTTGGTTCTTTTTGCTTTTTTTCCCTGGGATTAGGAAGGCGCATATTGTTTCCGAGCCTGTTCGACAAAGGGGAGTATATACACCTTCAGCTGCGTCCAAGGCGGGGATAAAAGGCGCTACGCAGCGCTTCCAGCTACGGCCTCTCGCAGGTCAGTTATTCCAATGGTTCAGTGGGCTGAGGTAATTAGCTGTTCAATAACTATTGCACATCTAATGACTAACCAGTGGCCGGCTAAAGATCATTGCAATTCCAGAATCGAGCCCGAAATATACCCCTCTCCTGCGGCGCCTATTGCAGCCATGTGGTTGGAGGACGAAACAACGAGGCTGTGTCTCCCACCACCTGGATAAACAGTTATCAGCCTCGAAGAGATAACACACTATGTATTCAGTATTCACTACGGCCAGGGTCTCCACGAAGCTTAGTCTCGAGGCCAAATGCGCCCCAGAACCCGTGACGCTTTCACAATAGCGATAATTTGCGCTCTTCCGCTCGAGGCCGATGCCGTCGAAGCGCTTTTCGACGAAACATATGACCGACTCTGCAAGTACTATGGAAAGCAGCAGGGAGATGCAAATTGGTACGTTAACGGACGAGTTGGCAAGCACAATGTCGTGCTCTGCTATATGCCCGGAATGGGCAAAATTAGCGCAGCGAGTGTCGCCTCGAGCCTGAAAATAAGCTACATGAGCGTTCAACTTGCTCTGGTGGTTGGTATATGCGGAGGCGCTCCGAAAACTTCGAAGAGCCAGGATATCTTTCTCGGTGACGTTGTCGTCAGTGACAGTCTCGTTACATACGAATTCGGTGGAGAGCACTCGGTCCATGACAGGCCTGGAAGGCCCAATCGCGAGATTCGAACCCTACTTGGTCGCTTGGGAACACCCTCTGCTCGGGCTGGTTTTCAGTCCCAGTTGTTACAATATATTGAGGTTCTCAACCACACCGACAAAAGGTGGAACCACCCTGGCATTGAAGATGTCCTTTTTGAAAGTTCTCATCTTCACAAACATCGCGAGCATGGCCCTGATCTAGATTGCTGCTGCTTGAAAGGTAGCTCGCTAGATGAAATCTGCGAAGATGCCTTGGAAAGTGATTGTAATTCTCTCGGCTGTGGCAAGGGCACTGTAATGCGTATTCGCAACCCTTCTGAAGCGAACAAGGTTTCTATTCATGTTGGGCCAGTCGCCTCCGCCAATACAGTAATGAAGTCTGGCAAGCACCGTGATAATATCATCAAAAGAGACAAGGTCATTGGCTTCGAGATGGAGGGAGCAGGGGTGTGGGAATGTCTGCCATCGCTCATAATCAAAGGTGTGTGTGATTATGCGGATAGCCACAAGAACAAGTTATGGCAAGCCTACGCTGCAGCGACTGCCGCCTCCACCGCAAAGGCTTTCTTAGAACACTGGACGCCTCATTCGCAAAAAAGTGAGTAAACTGAGGAGCTCCTGGTTGTGCTTCGTACTTACTGACTGTCTCGTTCCATAGGCCTTTTGGACACCAGTAATACTCACCACTTCATGGTCCCGTTTACACGAAAACCATGCTTTTTGGGCCGCACAGATGAGGTCGAACATTTATGGAGCTTACTTACAGCATCGGAAGGACCAAGGCGACTCGCTATTACTGGATTAGGAGGCATCAGTAAGACGCAATTAGCGCTGGAGCTGGCCTATCTTATGCACGAATATGATGCTGAATGCTCAGTATTCTGGATACCAAGCACCAGTGACGAAGCTATCGAGCAAGCTTGTATAGCCATTGCGCAACAGCTGGGGATCCAGTATACCAAGCCAGATGAGGTGAAGGAACGACTCAAAGAATACCTATGCCAGGCGAGCGAGGAGTGGGTATTGATCTTCGATGGCGCCGATGACATGGATATGTGGATGAACGGCAACGGTACAACTGCGCCTCTCAGGGATTTCCTTCCCTCCAATAGACGCGGCCGCATCATCTACACTACTCGCAATCGCAAATTGGCCGTGAAGCTTACATCGCGTGATGTGATACATGTACGCGAGCTTGACGAACGGGCGGACGTGGAACTTCTGGAAAAGTCCTTGATCCAACAAAATCTAGTTGAAGATAAAGATGCCGCGACCTATCTCGTCAAACAGTTAGCCTTCCTTCCACAGGCTATTACACAAGCCGCCGCGTATATGAACGAAAATGAGATAGGAGTATATGACTATCTGATGCTTCTCCATGAGCAGGAAGAAGACGTTGTGGAGCTTCTGAGTGAAGATTTGCAGGCCGATGGGCGCTACGAGACTTCCGTCAATCCAATAGTCCTGACTTGGTTTGCCTCGTTTCGTCAAATCGAGAGGCTCGATCCGCTTGCTTCCGAGTACCTCTCTCTATTGGCCTGTCTCGGCCAGCAAAGTATACCGGAATCGTTTCTTCCACGACCAATGTCGAGAAGAAAGATGGTTGAAGCCCTTGGGCTTCTAAAAGCCTATTCATTCATTACTATCCGACCAAGTGATAAGTGCATAAACATGCATCGTCTGGTGCATCTAGCAGCTCGGCAGTGGTTGAGGGGTCAGGACCGCATGGAACTTTACACGCACAAGGCAGCAGAGCGGCTGGGTGAGGTTCTGAATGATGACGATATCAACGAGAAACATCGGAGACTATACGTACAACATGCTGAATTCCTACTCCATGAACTTCATGTTATGGCAGTCCACGCGCAGTGGAACATACGTGTCAGCTCGGGTGGTGATAAGAGTGGAGCAGAGGAAGAGGGACTGCTTTTGCAGGGGACGAATACATTGTCCCATAGCCTGGAGCCATGAGATCCGAGATGCATGTAGCATACGGATGGTACTGTATTAGCATAGCCAAAGCCAGCAAACTGGCGAAATCGGAAAGAGAATGGGGCATGACATAGATACTGGGAACGGTACCGTACAATTAACGGCATCCGAGGACTCCAAGCAATGTCGGGAAGATTGTCCAATAGAAGAATAGAATGGGACAGAAGTATGAGCAAAAGAAGAGAAAGAAAAGGATATCAATGTGAGTATTATTATTCAAGATTAAAGCCACCATAATAAACACACAACGCCTTGCTAGCACCTTCCATGCAGTAATGCATCACCACTGATTTTTGGCCCTCCTTGACAACCTTGGCCATCTGCTTGACGTCCGATGTCCGAGGAAGATACAGAACCATGTGTTCTGTAAACATAGAGTACTCTTTGTAGAGCTTCGCTAGTGAGTATGGCTCCATAGTACTCAGGTTAAACACCGTGTCGGAGCGATACCCGGGGCCTATAACGGATCAGCTGGCTTCCAAGAAACCTAAAGGGTGTAAGGGGAAACTATGGGCACATACCACCCCATGGCGGACTTGCAAACAAGACACTGTACGGCGCCAGATCCTTCAGCTGATTCTTAATAATCTCAAAACAATCACCCTCAAACCAGGTGATCTTGTCCGCCACGCCGTAAATCTTGGCGTTGTGTTTAGCGCACTGCAGGACAGCGGGATTCTTCTCGATAGCGTAGACGCGCTTCCATCTACCGGACAGCGCGAAAGCGATGGAGTTGCCGCCCGCGCCGGCGAATGCATCAACCAGGATGCTGCGTCCTGCGGGGGCGGACTGGGCCATGTGTTCTGCGATTTTGCTGCATTAACGTATTAGTTGCCTAGAGCTCCTGTTAATGGACGAGAGAACACGCACTTTGCCACTGGCTCAGGTGTTACCCCAAACCAGGCATCATCTGTCAGCCAGACCCCCTCATCGTACTTAGAGAAGATCTTGTAGCGTTGCGCCCAGTAACTGTTCCGCGGTGTTAGTCGATTTCGGTTCCGCAACGTATGGACGGGGAATAATGGTATTACTTTTGAATATCCCACGGCACCTCGCCAAGATCATTATAATGATGTACCTCCTCCGGAGGAACCTCCACGGTAGGGTCTCGAGCCATGATCGCAGTATAAATGGAAGTTGATTAAGGACTGAAGCTAAAGGCGGAGCGCAATCGCATCGCGACGATTATCAGCCATTGCGATAAGCGATAACCGGTGTTTGCAATGTTTGCAGCGCCGGGCAGCTCTCCACGTTGCGCATCTGGCTTTCCTCCGCACTGCCCAATGCTCCCATCCTCTCTCTCCACAAACATATACCCCCCTCCCTCGCAGCAGACATGTTCGGGGCTCTTAATCGGTTTATTGGCTTGGATGCTGAGCCTACCCGACAGGCGCGGGCTCAAAGCACTAGCGACAACTCCTTTGGGTTCCAGGTCCTCCGCAACAAGGATGCGGAGCTCCCTCTGGAGCCGTGGTTCGATTTCATTGTCGGAATTAATGGGCGGTTAATAGTGAGTAGACTTGACTCCTCAGACAGGGCTGTCTCTATGCGCGGGCTGGACTAACTACCTTATCAGGAGGACCCCGACCCCAACCTCTTCGCTACGGAAGTGCGCAACTGCGCCGGATCCAGCGTGACCTTTGAAATCTGGAGCGCCAAGGTACAAACACACCCAATAACGTCCTTTACGATATGCTAATACCATCATGAAGGGTCAAAAAACACACACCGTCTCCATCCCTGTCCCCGCATCCAACCCCGATCTGGGCCTGGCGCTCCAACTGGCCCCCCTCTCCTCCACCCAAAACATCTGGCACGTCCTCTCGATTCCATCTCCACTCAGCCCCGCCTACCGCGCAGGTCTCCTTCCACACTCCGACTACATCATCGGCACTCCGAGCGGGACATTACGCGGAGAATCAGCACTTGGGGAGCTCGTCGAAGACCATCTGAACCGCACACTAGTCTTATGGGTATACAACAGCGAGTTTGACGTGGTGCGCGAGGTCGAGCTGGTGCCGACACGGGGTTGGGGAGGGGAAGGAGCGCTAGGTGCGGAATTGGGTTTCGGAGCACTACATCGGTTGCCGGTTGGGCTGGGCGAGGAAGTCGAGGGACCCGGCGAGGTGGTCTTCGAGACGCGGGACGACGGCTCATCCGCGCCAGTAGTGGAAGCTCTGGGCCAGGGTCCCCCGCCATCTGGGCATTTCCTTGTCCCGGCGAATATGACCTCTCCTCCGCCGTTGTCGGGACCTCCGAGGAATCTGGCGGCGTCGCCCGCTAGTCACTCGTCTGCGGGTCGTCGGCATAAGACGCGTCATACCGGGTCAGCTGCGGCAGTATCGTTTGATGACTACTTTGCGGAGGGCGAGCAGAAGAGCAAGGAGCAGGACTTTGCGCCGTCCCGCAGGGGAACGCCGCTACCGCCTCCGCCCAAGGCTGGGGTGCGGTCACCGCCTAGCTCGGGCAGTCCGGCGCCAGCGGCTGCCCAGTAGACTAGGGTTAAGAGATCAATTGTGTACAGTAGTCATGAAACTCGGTTATTATGGTGGCCTAATAGGTCTTGTTATTCATTGTTTCCCAGTAACTAGGCCATTATTGCACTTCTGCATCACGGAAGCGATATTTAGTCTATTTTTACGTTCCGATCAAGGCGTGACTTGGCGCCGCTTTAGGCTCACTGACAGGCCTGGGGCAATGGGGTAAGCATTACTAATTATGCATGAAGGCAAGAGGACGGGAATTTCTAAATGCTAGTGGATAAGCATCTCCCTGCTTGGGGGGAAGGGGGGGACACGGAGCCGGTCCTTGGTTTCTTGATGTCATGCCTACTAGTAGTACTAGTAGTCAGCTGTCGTGAGTCGACCCCCAGCATTGGATATATGTATAACCCATTGGCCATCCTAGTAGTAACGAAAAGCTACTACAATGACTACCTGTTGAACTAGTTATAATTGGCGGCGTTCATCGCGACATTCAGTCACGGTGATCCACCTGTAGTCTTGCAGATTGGCCATAGAGAAAGGGTACCCGTTTAAACAGGCCCAGGCGTTAGCCCAACGCTTATGCGTGATCTATTGCCTCGAGCACACTAATCGCATCTTCATGGCCGTACTGCCGTGCAATCTCCAAGGCGCTTTGGCCATTTTTATCCAGTCGAAATAGCTCCACCCCCGGGGTGCCGGCCAGAATGGCAACAACACTCGCGTGGCCCCTCTTCGCCGCTATCCCTAGCGGGGTGTGCCCCAATATATCGCGCCGGTTGAGCTCGATGCCAGGACATGCGACCAACACCTTCACAACTCCTGCATGGCCATTGCAGGAGGCAATCCAAAGAGCAGTTCCGCGGGAATAGGATACAATCTCGGTATGATTCGCAGCCGCGCCGCTGTCGATCAGGATCCTGACAACGGCGTCATGTCCGTGCTCAGCGGCTGTCCACAGCGGTGTTGCGGCATTAGGATGTCCCATATTGACAGTCACTCGTCCAGTAGCTACTAGAGCTTGAACGATATCGCTGTGACCATTCGCTGCAGCCTTTGAGAGCGGCGTATATCCCGTATAATCGGGGCACTCCACATCAACCCCATGAGTGCTTGCCAGGATACTGACAACTTCAGTATGGCCATTGTTCACAGCGGCCCACAGCGGCGTTGTACCGTTATGGCCCTTGCTATTGAGATTCACCTGATCAGCGGAGACCAGGATCTGGACTACTTCCACGTGCCCCTTGGATGCCGCTACCCAGAGCGCTGTCCTGCCGTGACTGCCTGGGAAGTTCAGATCGACCCCTTCCGTATTAGCTAAAACCTTGACAACACCACTGTTGCCACAGTCCGCAGCCGCCCAGAGTGGTGTTACGCCTTGATGATCCCTCCGATTAAGAAGGACCCGACCGGTGGAGACGAGTATTGCCACTATCTCGTCATATCCTTCCTCAACAGCTCGCTGTAGAGGAGTCGTACCATCGTGGCTTTGCCGGTCGACGTCAGTTCTTGCGATGGCAACCAATAACCTGACGATACTATCGTTGCCGAGATGGATAGCTGCTTCCAACGGGGTGCCTGCTCCAACTCCGCTGTGGTTCGGGTCTAGATCCTCCATTGTTATCATAGCTTTAATGACGTCTTCGTGACCGTTCAATACCGCTTCCCACAGTGCCGAAAGGCCAGCTTTGTTGAGATGATTGATATTCACTCGGCCCGAGCTCCCCAGGTATTTGACAATGTCTGTATAGCCTTTCGAGGCAGCAACACAGAATGGCGTTTCCCCACGAGCGTCAGGTATGTCCAGGTCATAGTCCTGATGTCGGCAGACTGACTGGACGACCTCCAGGTGCCCATTTGCGGCTGCTAACCACAACGGCGTCTCCCCCTTTCTGTTAGCCATCGATGCCGCTTGGGAGCCCTTCTCCTTTAGCCGCGCGTATTCGAGAAGAAGATTAAAAATAATTGGAGGGCCCTTGACGCTGGCGGCAAGATGGAGGGCCGAGTCTCCGGATGGCGTCACAGCCAAGATGTCTGTGTGCGGGCCTGACAGAAACAGAGGTATTGCTTCCACAAAGTTGTGGAGCGTAGCTGTCATAAGGGGAGTATAGCCGTCAGAATCTGCTTGGTTCCGATTCACCCGGTCGCAAGCAAGAAAGCATTTGGTCAGCTCGACATCTTTTCGGATTATTGCAGACGTCAGATGTGTTTTTCCTGACGGGCCTACTGCATTCGGCATCACAACTTCACTCTTCAACAAGGACTCAATGACAGCGATATGTCTCCCATTGATGGCCCAAGATAGTGGTGACTGTCCGAAAAGGTCGTCGGTATGCCGAGCACCACGGGCGAGGAGCCAGTCAACAAGCGCCAGACTCCCGCGCTGACAGGCATGTGACAACGGTGTCTGTCCAGAGGAGTCGGGTTTGTCATAGCCATGGGTGTCTAATATGGTCATCAGGAGATTATTTAGGTGTGGCGTGTTGAGGTCAAGATACCAGACATGCTCTTGCCACCAGGCCACTGCATATTGGTAAAAGGCCCAGGGCACGGCGTCACTTGCCCTGGAGGCTTGCAGGCGTTGCAATAGACTATAACCGACATCCGTATCCTTACTCCTCTTCATTTTCAGCAGATTCAACGCAATTCCTTGGGATTGGCCACGAGAGGAAACTGCTGAATGGATCACTGCCGTTGTCACCGAGATAGAGCTGATTTTAGGTGTCTTAACCGCTGACAATTGCTTGTAGAAATTTTCGTAGCTCAGGTATGTCGCAATAGTCTCTGCCATGGTTTGATTTGCAGGCATCAAATCGCGATGGTTTTCACGGTGGTCACAAAGAAATGTTCTCACACTATGATGTACCATGCGAATACTCGAGTTTTCTTCATCTACAGTAAGTAGACCCCCACAACAAGCCAACGTGGAATGTATGTCATTGAGTATCCTTGCGGGGTCCCAGAAGGTCTTCCAGGGGATGACACTGAGGGCTTCTCTCATTTCCTCTGTGGTCAGTGGCCTGCACGCGGTCACAACCAGATCCAAAATCTTGGATTGATACGTGGTCCCGGAAAGGCTAGACCTTTCCAGTATCATCGTGTATAATGCTGAAAGATCTCTAGGCAAACTGGCAATGGCCTCTCGTATATCTGCGTCTGTCCTCTCAAGACACAGAGCTTCTATCTGCAGAGCCACCCACAGGAACATGCCCTCCGCTCCTTGGGAGAGGCTATCTCGAACGTCGAGGACAAGGGCAGGGTCGTTTATTACGAGCTTCCCAGATTCAAGACATCTCTCTAGTTCGGCGTTGATGAAGGCATCGATGTCAGATTTGTTAGCTGTCACGGGCCAACATCGCTGATTTTGAAGCTGTTTGAGTTCATGCAGAGAATCCGCCGGCTCCGGCCTGACAGACACGCACAATGCAAGCTTGATTGATTTTTGGATCTCCTGTAGAGAAGCCAAGATAACTTGTCGTACATTTCCGTCGCAATGCATTAGGCCATCAAGTACGAAAAGGGCCTCGAAGTGCGGCGGTAGCAGATGTCTTATTAAGGTTAGAATTCCGTCAACCTCGAGGGATTGTCTGTCTCCCAGGACATCCCGTGCGGAGTCGAGATCGCATTCTGACTGCAGCAGCTGTCGCGCTAGAGAGCCTATAACTGTTTTCGGCGTTAAGCTCTGCGTCGAATCGTGTTGGCAGAAGAAGTACGCCACCACTGCTTTCCTTTCCGAGTCCAAGTTCAAGTCATCCACCATATTGGCGAGAATCACGGATTTTCCCGATCCTAGCTTGCCTGTACATACGAGTGTACGCGACTGCAGCCCTTCAGAACCTCGTGGGGCCTTCCACTGCTTGTAGACCATTGAGGTCTCCAAGAGAGTGGTAGCACCGAGCTTGCGGATCCGCTTCCATTCCTGTTCGTAGTCGTAGGTGGAGCACGCATCCAGTACGCGCTGGCGCGCTCTAAGCCTCCTTGCGTGGGATTGAGATTCAAAGCGTCTCGCGACCCGAGATCTAAACCATGAATTGTCTTCGGCCACCAGGGATAGTTGCTGAACCATCTGTAGGTTCACTTCTTCTTTGATGGCAGTAGCCCAGATCTCCAGGTCAGATTGGTAGCCTTTCAGAGCAGACGTGAACGTAGAAACCCACTGGCCTATAGCCGTCTTCCGACTCAGTTTCATAGCGTGATGGCACAATTGCACGACAACAATGAAATATTCCAGCATTGATGTTCTGAGACGTTGCGATGTAGGATAGACGGCGCCCATTAGTTGATAGCGAGGTGCAGAGCGGCCCACGGCCATGAGCATGGACGATAGTTGTTCAAAGTAGGTCGAGTACTTGACAATGGACTGAAGACCCTATCAGAGAGGCTTTCCACCGACCGACATACATGCTGCAGAATACTTACCAGAAGCGACATTCGTACTACAGCCCAGATGCCACAGGCTAGGAGGCTCTGCGATGCGCCCAGAACGATGTCCCCGAGTGCAGCGAACTCCTGTACCGCCTGAAGAATGCTCGTGAGCCGTGAGCCGAAACATTGTCCTCGAAGGCCAGCCGATCGGTTGATTTCTGCAGTCAATTGCATCACATCTCGGACACTTGGAGGGAAGCCAGGGGCTTGGTATGACCGCAGCGTCGCCTTCTCCCGCGATGAGCAATCGGCTTGGAATTCGGAGATAGCCTGCCCCAGACGAACTTCGGGTTTCAGTCTCGCAGCTTTGGTGAGAGCGGTGGTCATCGTGGACCCGAGCTGCGGAACAAGTAGCAATACATCGACCACTTCAGGGGAGATGAAAAGGATGCAGAATCAGAAAAGGGAGGAAACAACAACACAGTGACAAGGCTGTGGTGTGTGTGTGGGGGGGAGATGAAGAAGGAAGGCAGTGCTTTGTGCCGCCACTAACAATGGCCAATCACAACACATCCCGGCTGTTCATCATGGGAATAGCAAGTACTACTAGGGTTAAGTAGTAGTAAGTAAGTAAGTACTAGTCGAGAAGATGTTGGGTACGATCAATTGATGATAAGTAATCCCCTCGATGAATGGAGAATAGAAGAAGAGTACTAGTAGTAAGTAAGTATGTGGATCGAAAGATGTTAAGCCTTAAGAATGCTTGTTCTTCGATTGGCCAAACCACCGCTGCTCCAACTATCGCAACCCTGATCCTGTATAAGCCAGTAATTGGGCTCCCCTGGGAAATAAAAAAAAAATAGTGATCTGGACAAAGGAAATACTTATCAGGTACTAAGATCTGACCCATCCCAATCCAGAAACCACACCAGGATTCCCACCAGGCAACCCTTAGTGCTGACACGCTTTCCTTTGAGTTTGTTAATTTTACCGCCTCTGATTCATGCACATATAAGTAACTAGCTCAGCTGTCATTGTCGCTGACACTTTCCGGAACCACCGTTGTGTCTCACTATTGCATTCTCCTTTCCCCCTGCAGCTCCCTAACGCCGTCAGCCCGGTCGGCAATGGCGGAGATGAGCCTGCGCACCGCCCTGGCCATCTTGGCCGGAATCTATCTCCTCTACAAACTTCTCTCCTTTATCCGCTTCTACATCATCGGTCGTCGCAGCGGCTATCCCCTAGTTGTGACCCCTTTGTTTACGCGCCATTCACTCTGGCAGATCGTGGGTCCAACGTTCCAAGTACAGCTGAAGCGCTATCTTCCCACATGGCTCTACGAACATCTGGATATCCACATCCACGGCTGGGAGTTTCGTCACAAGAATGCTATGCATCGTCGTTATGGCAAGATTTTTGCCATTGTCTCGCCTGATGAGTGCTCTTTATGGTAGTCCATCGACCCTGGTACATTTGTTTTGACATCGTTCTGACCCCTTCAAGGATCGCCGACCCGACCGTCGGCGCAACCGTCTTGCAGCGACGCAAGGATTTCGACCAGCCCGACGTCGTAGCCAAATTTATGGGCTTTTTCGGACCAACTCTAATTCAATCCAATGGTGAAGACTGGACCCGCCAGAGGCGCATCATCGCTCCCCAGCTCAACGAAGCCATCATGGGTGAGGTGTGGGAAGAGGCCTGTCGCCAGTCCCGTGCTATGCTTGAGTATCTCCTGCAGAATCCTGGCGGCGAGACCTTGACCGGCCTTCGCAGTATCGCCATCAACGTTCTCGGCCAAGCTGGGTACGGACAGAACCAGCCATGGTCACCTGACTTTGTCGAGACTCTGGGGCAGGACTGGCAGGACGCCAGAGTATCGTACTTTAAGACGATTGCTATGGTCACGGACCGGTTCGTGCAGGCGGTGTTGATCCCAAACTCGCTGAAAGTGATGCCATTCATGCCCGAGGGGATTCGTCAACTGGGTCGCCAGATGTTAAAGGTGCCGGAATATGTCAGAGAGATTTTGGGCGAGGAGCGAAACACTAAATCGAGTGAGGTGTCTAAGAAGCGCCACAATCTGCTAGATATGTTGGTGCGATATGCGCAACATGGAACGGAGAGCTCTGCGAAGCTGTTTCTGTCAGAGGCAGAAATCAGCGGCAATCTTTTTCTCTTTACCGCCGCTGGCTTCGACACGACAGCCAACACAATGGGATACGCTGTGATGTTCCTCGCACAGTATCCCCAGTGGCAGGACTGGGTGCGGGAGGAGTTGTCGCAGTTGGACGCCGATGTTTCGTCTTGGGGATACGATGTGTTTTCTCAATGCCCACGAGTGCTGGCTGTCATGGTACGTGGTCACTAAAAAGCAAAAAGGAATGACTGCTAACCCTGTCAGTATGAAACCCTCCGTCTCTTCACACCTGTCCTCCACTCCACACGCTGCGTGATCACAACGCAGCAGGTCGCCGATGCTGACGGCACACACGTGCTGACGCCCCCGATGGACGTGTTTGTCTCGCAGCAGAGCATCCACCGGGACCCGAATGTTTGGGGAGCGGACGTGGATGAGTTCCGGCCCACGCGGTGGATCGACGACGCCGGTCAAGTGGTGACCCCGGCCAAGGGCACATTTATCCCCTGGTCCGGAGGGCCCAGAATATGTCCGGGCATGAAGATGTCGGAGGTGGAATTTGTGGGGACGATGGCGACCCTATTCCGGCATGCGCGGTGCGAGCCGATGCAGGAAGGAAAACTGCAGCAGCAGATGGAGGACTCGATATCAAAGTTGACGCTGCAGGTGAGGGAGCTCCGGGAGGTACAGTTGCGGTGGGTGCCAGCTTGGTAACCTTGACAAATGAATATGTCGATACCTAGTTACCAGTAAGCCAATCCACCACAAACAATTAATCATACCCTAAACGAATAAGATCGATAAGATAGCAATCACCCACCATTCCATCCTCTTCACGGGTTCGGCCTTATGTCTCTAGACGAGCATGGACCAATCAAACGCCCGCGCATCCCGAATACTCGCAAACTCCCCCTCAAAACATACTAGTCTCTTTGACTCTCTCTCTCCCATCTTCATCCACCATCACCACCGTAAGCTCAATCCGGTGCACCGGTCCTGACAAGACCCTGATCAACCATTGATAAAATTCCGATGTCTGTAGCTTAAACCACCTCCACCAACCATCCCCCCTTCCCAGTAGCAAAAACACCATGGGATAAATATCAGCCCATCATCCCCTCACCCAACCACCCATCCAGACCCATCAACAGCATCAACCCACACACACATAAGAAAATGTCCCCTCCCCACCTTCCCACTACCATCACCACACTCACATCCATCCTCACCACCCTCCTCCTCCTCACCTCCTTCTCCCTAACAACCTACACCCTAACGACCTACCTCCACCTCGCGCACACCGCAACATCCCTCGTGCCGAAGGTCATCATCCACGACACCGCCATCATCGCCACAACATCCTACCATATCTTCACGACGATCCTGACCTGCCTGACATTTATCACGATCTACTTCCTCTTCCCTAGATTCATCTTCGCAAAGTCAAACGCCAACAACAATCACCCCTCATGGATCCAAAAAGCACTGATATCCCTCGCAACCCTCCTCCTCACGACAAGTCTCCTCGCCTTCACGGTCATCCTGGCTACCAGAAAGATGTCCTTTGGGGACGTGGGCCCGCGTGTTACTGTCTATTTAGATGAGAGTTTGGGTGAGGAGAGTCTGGTTTATAGGGATGATGGGAGGGGGGTTGCGGGTGTTGTTTTGGGGTGGGTGGGTTGGTTGGTTTGGTGCAGCGGTTTTGTAAGTTTACGATTCTTGAGATTTCGGATAGTTGGTTGAGTAAGTTATTATTGGCTAATGTGAATGTTGGTTTAGGTGTGGTTTGATGATGGTTGGAGGGAAGAAGGATGAGCAGAAGGGAGATGGTGATGGGAAGTGGGTGGAGAAGGGGGAGGTGGAGGAGAGTAGTAGGGCGGAGAGTGTGTAGGTGTGTTTGGTGGATGTTAGGGATTTTGATGGATGAGGTTGTGTGGGTGTGGTATGATACTTTTATGAAGTGATGGGTTATGAGTGATGATGATGTTTATGTCTCACTGGGACTGTATGATGGTATCAAAATATATTATGTCGATCAATAACTATAGCACTACTAGTATACTAAGCTGTTTCTTGGCATATTGTTCGGTTATAGCACTACTACTAATACTAGTACTAAATCGAGCATAAGTATCTAACGCTGCACTCGGTAAATATCACTCATAATACTGACTTTGATATGAAATAAGGAACAATGAATGTAGTGCAGTGTAAACAGTGCTTTACCTTACTCTGTCTCCTAAAACTGCATAGTAAACGCTCATTCGTCTACTTAAAATACATATGCAAGAACTAGATCAAATCAACCCATTCTAAAACACTGACGCAGTGGCCAATTTAATGACCCTTGCTCACCACCTCCTCCAACTTCTTCCGCACATCTCCGATCTTCTCCTCCATCATGGCCCGCGCCATACCGCTGTGCGCAATCCCCGTGTACCACAGGTGCTCAGCCTTCTCGCGCACCTGCAGATGCGTGTCCGCCACAGCCGGCACCTGCTTCTCGTACTCCCAGACCAGATCCGACACGTTGCGCATGGTCACGGGCAGCAGGGTCCAGGCAGCCACGGTACCGAAGGCCAGCGGGGACGCCGTGCGCAGGAGGATACCGCGGTTCCGCGACACGATGGAACCGGCCATGGCAGCCACAACGACGTAGACTCCGCCGGGGAGCAGGCGTTCGCCGGACTCGGGCGACGGGGCCAGGGAGGCGACGGTGTTGGCGAAGGCGTTCTCGATGTGCAGGGCACGCGACAGGAAGTTGTTGAACTTGGTCTCGACGGCCAGGGAGTTCTCGTACAGGAAGAGACGGGCCTGACGGACCTGAGCGGTCAGGATGTCGGTGGGAGTAGGGGAAGAGGGAGAGGAGAAGGGAGTGGACACCGGAGCTGCCGGGGTGGTGGTGGTCGGGGCCGGAGAGACGACGGGCTTGGAGACGGCCGGGATCTCGGTCGGGAAGTCATCGTAGATGGGTTTTTTCTGGACGCAGTATCAAGTCAGAAGCGGATTCGAGCGAAAGCAAGCAGAGATATTCCGAGCACGTACAGCATCGCGAGGCTCCTCTGCAAAAGCCGTCTGCCGGGGGTAGAGGGCGATACCGCCAGCCAGAAGGGTGGCCGCGATGGGGGCCACAGCCCGCTGGAAGGAGTTAGCGGGAACTTCAAGTTGCAGACGGAAGAAACAGGAGCTGAGGGATTTACCTGCTTCAGCATTGGCCGGAAAGACATGATGGGGGAGGCCAATGGAGGGAAGAAGTGAGGGAGGGAGGTGGAAGAGAGAGAGGCTAAGTTGGAGGTTCAAGATGGAATGACGGCCTGAGGTCGGCCGCCAAGCCTTTTTTTTCGTGAGTTTGGCGGCTTTGCGGCTCGAGCCTCCGTCATCGTCCGCTTCTCTTTCTCTCCTCCCTCTTTCTCTTAACTTTCCCCTCACTCTCCTTTTAATCTTCCACCACCGTCTCGTGTGGTTTAATTCTACCATTATTTATTCTACTCATGGTATAATCTCCATGTCGACTTCCTTTCCCGTTGTCTCCCCCTGAACGCCATCATGGGAGCTCCTCTGCTGCTCCCACTCCGGCGTCGGCCGTGGACTTGCAGGACCTGTCTGCTGCAGGCCCGTCGCTCGCTCGAGACGGCCGCCTCGCCGGCGACTCATCGCACAGCCTTCGATTACCTTCCGAGTAAGAACGATGCCCAAAAGAAGTCCGATGACGACACCCTGCGCCGCGTCTTCGACTCGCAGCCGTTTTGGCGCGAATTCAGCCAGCGCAGTGCTGCCCACCTCAAACCTACCGGTCTGGTCCAAAATCAGTACCTGACCAGTCCCGATGGTTTCCGCGTCTTTGCGACCACCACCCTGCAGAAGTGCCAGGCCATCGTGGCCAAGGTGCTGGCCGGTACAACGTTGGAGGATTACCGGAGTATGGCCCGCGATCTCGACCGCCTCAGCGACTTGTTGTGTCGAGTCATCGACCTATCGGACTTTATCCGAGTCATCCATCCTGATCCGCGCGTGCAGGAGGCCGCGACGCAGGCGTACGCCCTCATGTTCGAGTACATGAACGTCTTGAATACGACTACCGGTCTCAACGACCAGCTGAAGAAGGCCGCCGCCAATCCCGAGGTTACGGCCCGTTGGTCCGACGAGGAGAAGATCGTCGCCCAGATCCTCATCAAGGACTTTTCCAACTCGGCCATTCACATGCCCCCGCATGCCCGACAGCGTTTCGTCAACCTGTCCAATGATATCAGCCAACTGGGAAATACTTTTGTCAACGCCGCCGAGCCGGCCAAGTCGCACGTGACCGTGAGCGCCAACAGCCTGCGCGGCCTCGACCCCATCCTCGTGCAGCAGATCAAGCGGTGGAACAGGACGGCCTCTGTGCCCAGCATGGGCCTGATTCCGCGCCTGGCGCTGCGGTCCGTCCACGACGAGGGCGTGCGGCGGGAGGTCTACTTGGCTACACGCACGTCGAGCGCCCGCCAGATCCAGCGGCTCGAGCAGCTGCTGGCCAAGCGCGCCGAGCTGGCTCAGCTCTCGGGCTACGACAGCTTCGCCCACATGACGCTGAGCGACAAGATGGCCAAGTCCCCTGAGGCTGTGTCTAACTTTTTGACCTCGCTGGTGGGCAGTAACCGACCCTACGTGCAGGAGGAGCTGGCGCAGCTGCAGAGCATGAAGGGATCCGCTGGTCGGTTGCAACCATGGGATCACGCCTACTATGTCCATCAACGGGTACTGCAGTACTCGCAGTCGCGCCGGTCGCGGGAGCTCAGTGCGGTGCCCGAGTTCTTCTCCCTGGGCACGGTCATGCAGGGACTCTCTCGGCTGTTCGATCGACTCTACGGCGTTCGGCTGGTGCCCCAGGAAACGGCTGCCGGGGAGACCTGGAACTCGGATGTGCGCCGACTGGACGTGGTCGATGAGGCGGACCGCCACATTGCTGTCATCTACTGTGACCTGTTCTCCCGCCCCAACAAGCACCCCAACCCGGCCCACTACACGCTGCGGTGTGCACGTGAGATCTCCGCGGAGGAGGTGGCCGAGTGCGCCACGACGATGGATGCTTCCGCCCACCCCAACGATGGCATGGCCACGGCCGTTGATCGCGACGCCAAGACGCTCCGCCAGCTGCCGACGATCGCGCTGGTGTGCGACTTCCCGGAACCGCCTGCGACAGGAACGGGCCGCCCGTCCCTGCTCAGCGAGCACAGCGTGCGTACCCTGTTCCACGAAATGGGACACGCGCTGCACTCGATTCTGGGACAGACGCGGCTGCAGTCCATCTCGGGAACGAGATGCGCGACCGACTTTGCCGAGCTGCCGTCGGTGCTGATGGAACGGTTTGCGACGGCACCCGAAGTGCTCGCACTGTACGCCCGTCACTGGGAGACGGATGCTCCTCTTTCGGAGAGCATGATGCAGCACATGGAGAAGGACCGCACGGCGCACGGGTCTATCTACGGCGCGATGGAGAACGAGTCGCAGATCCTGATGGCGCTGGTCGACCAGGCATACCACTCCCTCCCTGCCGGCCAGGCCGCCTCCATCGACAGCACGGCAGTCTTCCACCAGGTCTCTGCGGAGCACTGCACCCTCCCCGATCCGGCCGATACTAAGCCCCCGACCTCGTGGCAGGGCTTCTTCGGCCACCTGCACGGCTACGGCGCCACCTACTACAGCTACATCTTCGACCGGGCGATCGCCAACAAGCTGTGGGAGGACGTGTTCCAGCAGGGCAAGGCGGCGGTGGATCGCCGGGCCGGTGAGCGGTACAAGAATGAAGTGCTGCGCTGGGGCGGTGGCCGCAACGGCTGGAACTGCGTGGCGGGCGTGCTGGGCAGCGCCCATCCCGCCAACGCGGATGGCCGACTCGTCGAAGGCGGCGACGAAGCCATGCGTGAGGTGGGTCGCTGGGGACTGGGACGCGATGGTGTCTCTGAGTAATTTCATTGGTCATGTGTATGTATATTATTCAGATACAAGTGACATAGGCAATAGATATCCCTGTAATGATATTTCAGCAATTCGCAACCTACTTTATCTTCACCGCACGATACACTCAATACAATGGTATGCCACGCGAGCCTAATCTACAATATGCCGGTAAGTATGCCGCCGTGGCACAAACGCAGCGCCAGTACTACCTTGATCGCACCGTTAATGCTTTCTGCATGTGAGATGCATACTCTGCACCCACCCCCATAAAGGAGTGGAGGGGAGGGGAGGCGGGATGAAACCTACCAAGACAAACTGCAGCATGCCAGCCCCTGCGATTGGCGGAATAGAAAGCAAGGTGGTGCTGCTGACTTTCTATTAAGGTATATGATAACCCGGTTTTTGCCCTTGATTTAGGCATCTGTTCTTATCCCTGTCGGGAGATCAACCAGTCTAGACTCTTATTGACTCCCTTCTAACCCTAGCCACTGAGAATACTGTAGTGCTGCTATGCTAATATTGGCGACTATCGCGAGGTGAATTAAAACCCTTGATGCTTGGCTAGGATACATGATTGCTTTGTTTGCTTGGTGGCTGACCTGAATGACTGGGTCTGACTCCTTGGATGAAATCCAAACTACTACCATATTATCTTTCTTTATCCCTTGATAACTTCTTTCTTCTTTCTTCCTTTTTCTTTCTTTCTCTTCTTCGTACCCTCACCATAACACATAGCGATTCTCTCAACCAACTAATCAATCATATTGATACATTCATACTATCAATCACAATGGCAACCGTCACCTTCAAAGACGACCTCCCCAACACCACCACCACAACCCCAAAGAACAAAACAACCACCCTCCGCCGCTGGCTCACCTTCTCAACCTCAACCTCATCATCCCATCGTCGCTCCTCCTCCCCACGCCCAAAACCAACCCGCAGACCTACCCCAAAACCCACCATTAACACCACCACCAACACATCAACATCAACAACAACCCGTCTCTACAGAAGAGTAACCCTCCCGCGCCGCTCCTCCAAATCCAAAACCAAGACGAGAACAATCCATCCTGATGACGATACACATACACATACCCCTACGTCGCTACTTACATCCATAAACACCACCATAAACACCCCAAATACTGGCACGCCCACAGCCCCCACAACAACAATAACAAGAGATACTACGAATCCAATCACACCCCCACCCACCAGCCCTACCTGCCCCTCAAGCACGAACAACAAAATCCGCTCCCGCTCTCCCCTCTCCCCCCTCTCACCCCTAAGTCTCAACTTCAGCACACTATTCAACCTATCCCCGCGGTCGAAAACCATCGAGGAATCCTCGTCATCGACATATTCATCCTCGGTATCGGAGATACATATCCCCCCGCCGACTGTCTCGCATGAGCAGCTGACGAGTTCGTATGCGGAGTATTGTGAGGCGTTTACGGAGGGGCGGACGGAGGAGAGTTTCCTGTATCAGGAGGAAGAGAAGGAGGAAGATGGAAATAAGGGTGTTCGGCCGGTAAAGGAGATTGTGATTAAGGAGGAGACAGGGTGTTGTTTGGAGGAGAGGTGTTTGCGGGAAAAGGGAGGAGGAGGAGGAGGGGGACAATGTGTGGTGGATACAAAGGAGGGAGAGGGAAAGGGAACTGGGGATGGTGATAGGGCTATTCCGTGCAGTGATGATCAGAGGGAGATTCTACATTGGATGCGGGAGTCGGATGAGGAGGAGCAGGATAGTGGCAGCAATGCTGAAGATGTACCGCTGCGGGTGTCTCCCCCCGCGAGGATCCTCACGCCGGCTCGATATGAACAGTCGCGTCGGGCGGCGAGACAACCTCAGCATGGGAAGCAGCAGGAGCACCACGAGGATCAGCGACATGCGTGGTGGACTGCACTCCGGGTGGGGTGGACGCGCATGCGCCGCCGAACCAGCAAGGCTGCCAACCCCGACTACAATTAGACTAATTCCACGCTGCACTGCATAAGACAAGAATCAATCAATAAATTCGTGCAACGTCGCTAGCCCAATGGGATCCCCAGAAATGGCCGCAAGGGATGTCGATGCACCCGTCGGTTGCAATCACAAGAAACGCGCACACAGGGGTATCCCGAGCATCTTATTACATACAGCCTATGCCGATACAACAAAGGAAAAATGCCGCGACAAAGGAAATCTTCGTCCCCTCTATTCATAGCCTCCCCACTGGTCATGCAACATTCCTTCACGAGGATCCCTCGTCCGCACCCTGCTCCGACGAACTGCTCGCCTTCTCCGGCTGCGGCGTCGTAGACTGGCTGGGTGGGTTA